GAGAGAGAGAGAGAGAGAGAGAGAGAGAGAGAGAGAGAGAGAGAGAGAGAGAGAGAGAGAGAGAGAGGCAGCCATGGTGACAGAGACGAAAAAGTACTCTCACACAGATGGGTAATGGCTACCTTGTACAGTGTTGGACATCAAGTACAGTTTACCATTGGCCACTGTGCATTTGCACGAAGCTGAAGATCCTTAGATCAATAAACAGGAAGAGCATTCTAGAGCGGGACCAAAGCCTTAGACAGTAGGTGGAGCCCTTCAGCAAATTTCATAGATTGTTGTGTAGGGGGAATATCAGAGAGCTGGACAACAAGATGATGGTGACCTTGAGTAATCATTCCATTTTGCCTGCAAGGAGAATGGTAGATGCAGTCTGTTCGACGCGACTCCAGGCCAAGAATGTAACCACGTGACCCTTTGTCCCTTTTTGCCGTAGAATGTGTAGGCAGTCACCAATGCCGTGGGAGAGCTCATCAGTGCAGCCACAGCAATGCAAGGGGTCTACAACAGCCTACTGCTGGCTGGTAGTAGAGGTCATCAGAGGAGCCACAGCATAAGAACCTGCAGAGTGCTGTGTGCCTTCTTTTTTTCCGTTACCCCCTTTCTGCTCTGTTTTTTCGGCCGTCCCGCCGGACGCGGTTAGCCGCAAGATGTTTGTAGTCATTTGATTTCGACAGGATTTAACAAATGCATCGTATACCATTTCGTCACATGGGCTGGGTGTAGAGTCCTAGACCTGGAAAATAGTGTTTTTCTTTTTTTTTTTGGGGTTGAAAAACCTGCCTTCTCCCTGTCGGGGACAGCCATATATTTTTTCTCTCTAGTGGTAGGTAGGTAATGAAAGAAAGATATGTTCCATGACATGGCAGAACGCCAGTTAAAAAGACCGGGAAAATAGTTGCGATGCCTGTGAAATGTTTCTGTGATGATGTATAATGGCCCTGAACATCGTGCTTAGACAGTGCCGAAGGGCAGATGCATTATCTGCACTTTGACGACAGCACGTCCAGGCACATTCTGACAATGGCATGAGTGATAATTTCACAGGCAAGATGTCGTCGTCCCAGGCAAAAAGAAAAGAAAAAAAAGAAGAAGGGGAGACCTTAAGCAATTTGAACTCTTGATCTACCGATCGGTAGCCCGTCTTGATCTGCTGACTGATTGGTAGCCCCTCTTGATCTACTGATCGGTAGGCCCCGACAGAGGCAGTCAGGGGATTTCTGTTTTTGGCCGAGGCTGTGGATCCTATCAAGTGCCACCAGAGTGTTGATGACGGCAGCTGTGCCGCGTCAGCCTTCTCACGCGTATGGGAAGTTGCTGGCAGTCTTCGCAAAGGAAAGAGAGAAGGGAGAGAGAAAGGACCTCGTTCCAGAAACAACACACGAACGAACACGAAAAGTTGGTGAGTGCACCTTCATTCCATGTAGCTGCCTGCTGCAATGCATTCCTTGTGGCACCTCATAGGAATCGATCAAAGAACCTACAGGAGTATTTTAGTTAGTGCGTACTGGACTCCAACCTTTTCGACTGGGCCTGCCCATCGCATCATCTTCACCGTCAAAAAGACATCCAACGATGTATGGGCCTAGTTGCACTATCGGCAGGGACTTGACGGACATCGGCCTTGAACAGGACATGGTTCACCGGGTAAATGACGAGAAGGACAGGTTTTGGGCGGATGGAGGACGCTCACCTGCCCACAAACGGTGGCGAGTATCCTGCAACGCTTTTGGTAAAATGGTGAACGGTGGAACGAGGCCTCGTCCACTTCTCACCACATGCAGAGGACACAAAAAAAAAGTATTGGCTGGGCATCTTTCCATGGTTGAGGGGAAGATTCATTGTCATTTTGCACATTTGGTGAGCAGTGGAGCGAAGCCCGAAAGCAAGCAAGCAAGCAAAGGAGACGGGAAGAGGGAGAGGACAATCCATTTTCCATCCCATTCCATTCCATTTATGTATCGTGAGGCGCGTCGTCGCGTAGCAGAGTCGACGTGGGAAGAAATACCACCGGTGGGGTAGGCAACCACACTACCGCCACCGCAGTGCTGCCTTTTACGGATGATGGCGCGCGAAATGGGGGGAAACGAAGCTCGCTCGGCACTGAGCGTTGTTGGTTGATTTCTGGATCCGTAGTAGAGTAGAGCTTATCGAGTTCAGATCGACGTGTCGGGTGTTCAAGACCCGCAGGTGGCAAAATTTGCCGGTTCGAAATGGAGGAAGGACCGGGTAGAGTGAATCCGAAATAGGTGAAACGTGCACAAGGCGGAAGCGAAGAGGGAAGCAGTAAGGAGGGGGTTTGCGGGTGGGTGGAACAAACCAGGGGTGGCGGGTGGGTATGGGCGCGCGCGGGAGTTGAGTTGACGGAGGACCGAAATTCGGCGGCCCAGCCTGCGGTAATCCGAGTCCGCGGGCGGGCTTAGCGCGCGTCGTCAGATACTGACGTTTGGGCTGTATCTGGGTTGAAGAGGAGGGCGGAGACGTCCTCGGCGGGTTCTTGGACCGGGTCCCATAACGGGAAAGGGAACTCTGGAAAGCCGACGTGGCAGGTGGACCAAACAGGGCCTGTCGTGGCGTGGCCGGAAATGGAAAGGTACTCGTTTAGGGGGGGGGGGGCAGGGCGAGGGCCGTTGCCCATGGTTCTGGGCGCTGTGCGGGCGGGCGCACAGGGCCGAGCAGGGACGCTACCGGTAGCGTAGTAGGTTCTTGGCGGTAGGACTGATGTTGGGTGGTTAGCGGGACCAGGCGCGAGTTAGGAGGCAAGAGTCGAATCCATGGCCGCGTTATGGGAACGACGGCGGGAGAGGGGAGAGAACGCGGCGGAGGGAGAGATCAGTCAGGAGGGACGGAAACGAACGAAGGAAAAGGGAGGGATTTTGGGCGGGCGGGCGGACGCGGCGCGGGGGAAGGGGGAGGGGTGTGAGAGGGGGGTGAAAATGCGCGGGGGGAGAAGAGTGTCTGTAGCGGGCGGGGTAGCAGCATCCGAAAGAAAGATTTGAAAGAGCGGAGGCTGCGGCAGAGGGCAAGAGGACGGTACTTCGCCAGAGAACAGGAAAAGGGAGGGGGGAGGGAGGGACGACGTCTGTCACTGCGGGTACTTCGCGGTGGCCGGCGAAAGGCTGAAATCGCCATGCGGGCCGGATGTCGACGGGACGGACCATGACCTGTCACTCTTTTTTTCCGCGCTGCTGTTTGCTTTGCAGTTTGGGGGAGAGAGAGGAGC